AACGGGCTAGCGCACGTAAATTTTAATACTTTTCCAAAATATTTTGGCGGAAGTCTTAAAATATGTACGATAAGTTTTACAATTCCGGTGGAAAACCGCATATGTTTGTTTTTTTGTTTGTGATGCACTCTAATGTATGTACATTGCGGTGGTCCAAAAATCCGTGTAAAAAAGTGAAAGTCGAAATTTTAATGCATTCACCACTAGGATTGTTCTAAATATACAAAAAAAAAACTATACCCCTTCTTTTTTAATTTGACACAAAAAAATATTTAGAGGTCGCTCAAAACGCTCAAAGTTATATATCTGTGTTCGTATGGAAAAGTAGCTTATGTCGAAAGGCTGACTTTAATATAAATCGGCATTTGCAGTATACGATTGCGAATGACTCGCTGGCGCTGAGCCGTTGAACAACTTTTGACAAATAAACGTGCAAGAAATAGTTCCGATACTAGAAAGTCAATATTCCTATTAAGTCTCGTCAAAAAATTCCTTGTCGTTTAAAGAATAAAAGGAATGCCGCATTATACTAAAGCCAACCTTTCGACATAAGCTACTTTTCCATACGAACACAGATATGTAATTTATATGGGAAAAAATAGTTTTCGTGGAAATGGTATAGAATTCTTTAAAATCAATATTTTTTGATCAGAAAACTCTCTTTCTCTTCAGGAAACTTCAAATAACAATACCATATCGTTTATTTAAACATTTTTTAATAGTAACTATTTGTTACAGGATCTCTAAAGACCCCAAAAATTCAATAGAGGGACTCATAAAAAATCGAAACAGAATTTTCTGATAGAAAAATATTCTTTTTCAAGATTTCTATATCATTTATATGAAAATGTTTTTTCTCTTCTATAAAATATATGCAACCACTAAATCAATTTTTAAAACAAAAAAACGGGTATACTTTTTTCGGTAGAGAACAATCTAAGGAGGTGAGAGCATTAAAGTTACGACTTTACTTTTTGTGGACCACCCTAATGAGCATACGAGTATAATAACATATAAATTATCTACTACATGCCTTTTATGAGCCTTGTATTTGTACTACATCGAGCCCTAACCGCCAAAATAACGTAAGCGACACGTTGTTTTGGCGGTTAGGGCTCGACATAACATTTTGAAAAAATTCTGATGAGTTTGCTGCAGATTGAGTTACATGCTTGCAAGAATTACTTAGAAGATCGAATAAAATTTAATGTTAGATTCAGAAGAAATGCGGGTCTTCATTGAAACTTCGCTTCAATGTAGAAATTTTGTAAGTACCTTCATTTTTCAAATACTAGTTGGGGTTTCGGTGAAGGCGTCTACTTATGGTCATTTGGCTGCTAACTTTCGTTCTGAATATGCTCGTAACTGTAGATGTTGAATCTGCCTATTTACATGTATAGAACACATACGGCGGCCGCTTTAGCCGAGTGGTTA